GTCTGAAGTCATACCTGCATCTTCCTTCTACTTCCTTCTAACTGGAAGCTAAACTTAAGCCCACTTTACACAGATGGCAGTAAGTCCTAAGTACTGAATTCAGTCAGAAGCATCAAGAGAGAATCTCACTGTCTACTTATCTTTCTTGCCATTATCTTTCTCTCTACCTTGGACTTTTTGTTCTTCCTGCTTTATTTTCTCTTCTTCTCTCTCCCTCCCCTATCAGAGAAGTTTATACTGGAGACTGTTGTTTTGTTGAATAAAAACGTATTATGCCCTGCTCTTTTTGAAAAATATGCTTATTGTTTTAATATATGAATATATGATACTACATAAAAACAAGAGCAAATCAGTTCTTAATGTATAAAAATTCCTAAAAAACTTCAATACATAATCATATTGAATAAAATGTGAATGTCCTACCTACTCCATTTCATTCCAACTCCCATCCCTGTTTGCTGTATATTATGCTGATTCCTCTTTCTATGCACTGGGAAGTATTCGTGGAAACATGATAGCATGCACTATTTCTCCACATTTTGACAAGGTCATTTTGAAATGGATAGATTCGTAAGTATCAAATGCATAACATTGTTTTTAATACTAAGAAGTACATATATTTTTAAAAAGTCCTGATTTGCAACTATTTCTCTAATCTCCTACCTCATCTCTAGGACACCAACGGTTCAGGGAGGAGGACTGAGACAAGATGCAGGGATAGAGGTGGCGAAAGGCGCAGTCTGAAGTGGACCAAAAGTCCTAGTTTCCCAAAACTGGGAGGGTTTTCAAGATACAGGGCTTAACAGGGCAAGTCTTCAAGAGACCAGGACAACTGGTCATCCTACTTCTTTTATAAATCAACTTAAAAATCTAATGATACAGTAAGAACTAAGGTCAGCTTAAGGTACGGCCTGATGAGATAGGGTAAGGGCCATGGTGAAGGGGGCAAGGCATGTGTCACATGGGAGGGGTAGAGCCACATGGGTACAATCATGGAGCACAGCCGGGCTTCTGTATGAGCTCGGGCTGTGCCCTGCCAACCTGGGCAGCTCACTGTGGATGTGCCATTGACTCCTGAGCATATCTTTGACTCCTGAGATATGTATGTTACATTCTAATATCTGTCTGTCATGTATGTATATATCTTTAAGGTCATTTTATTTAAATGGCTGACTTGTGATTTAAAAAGGAATGAGAACAGCAGTTCCTAAGAGCAGCAATGTAAACAAACCATTCCTGTCATTCACTCTTACATCCCAGGGTAGCAAGCACGGTGACATCAAACTGTGCTTGGTACCAAGATGGCCTCAGATACAAGAATGCAGTGAGGAAATCCTCCTGTGTACAATGCACTGGATAGGTTTATGGATATCAATGTACCAAACGTCTTGCAAGCTGACCTATGACCAGGGAAGTAAGAGGGTGTGCTTAAATACTGAAAGGAAGACACTTCTTCACTTTCAATGTTCTTAAGCTAGGAACAGAGTCATAACGTATAATAGCAGACACCCCAGCAAGCTCTTTAAGTATTTACCATAAATAAGGAACCTTGACCAATAGTACAACTTAATTTTAGAGCTACTTAAATTTCTGTAAAATAGGGAATCCAGAGTGACTGCCTTGTTAGAAGTGGGTGCTGGGGGCTGTGTCTCGAGACTCAGCATGTAAGGCATGCTGATTTCATTTAGACTGTCGGTTTATTTGGGGTTAACACCAGGGAGATGAGGAAGACTGGGAGGGCTGTGGCAAAAGACTCTTTGAAACCATCACTCTGTGCCATCACCGAGTCTTAGAAATTAAATCTATTTGGCGGTTTCTCCTAATGTAATGGAATTTATTAATAATTTAAAGAGCTAACTTAAGCATTAAACTCTGATTAGGTAGAAAGCAAGATTAGGTTTTCCACAAAGAGAGTAGCAACCTATGTATTACTTTCTATCCCCTGGCCTGTCATAAACTCCTGGTGAATTAATTCTTAGTAAGTTTCAGTATCATTATATGTACCTTTGCTAATGTCCCGATCCAGCCTATTCTGTACTTGCATGGCCATGGTCTTTGAAAAGAAAGGTAATACTTGCAAAATAAGAACTAAGCAGAAAAGAAGTTTTTAATCTAATCTGTGCTATTGACAAAGCCTTAGATGCTATCATGAAGCAACATTAGTTTTTCCCAAGTAATCACAAGGAATCTGGGTCTTTATGAAACAAAATTTCATATCATGATATATATTAATAGACCAATAAGCAAACTGACTTTTTAAAGTACAACGAAGGTTGCAATAATTTATCTGTTGCTATGAACACTAAGTTATTAAGTCCTCTGAGCTGATAAAATTAATTAACTTGCACATGAAATAATAGGGCAGCAGCAAATAGGTACTGCTACACTTGAGAGGTGCAGCTACCATAGGCACCTCCAATGGATTTGCATTTGAATAAACACAAAGTCATTAGTAAGGAGACGATCAAGATCAATCTGTGATCAGTCAAAGCAGATAATAAATCAGTTTTTGATGATGCTGTTACATCTGGTATAAGGATATTTAAAACACTCATTCTCTTATCTTCACCAGCTTTACTCAGATTTTAGACTTAACAAATATCTTCCAATATTAATCCAATGCATTCATTCTCCCATCTAGATTTCATTTTAACTCTAGAAAGGCAAAATGATATAATGAAAGTAACATTAGGCCTGGAGATAGGATTCATGGGTTCCAATAATCTTGACTACATCACCAACTTAGTCCACTACTTTGAATAAATCACTTACTAGACTTCTATTCTCGGCTTCAATGACCTCACCTGTAAGCCCTATTTTATGATCATTCAATTATGCATAACCCTGTGCACTATGATACAAATAACACTTGTGTACGTTTTGAATGCTTGGCTTTTTACATTATGTGTATTCTTTTGGAGTACATTCATATTATTTCTGTCCTATGCTATGTATTTACTTAGACCTTTAAGTTAATGCTCTATTTTTAAAAACCTTAAAGACACCACTTAATTGTCTAGTATATTTAGTGATCTGCATATGGTGACTACATGGCTGGTATTAAGCAGGAACTTTATATTGCAGTTTAATAAATTTAGTCTAATTCCATCATCAGAAAGGATGGGACAATAAAACTCATGTTAAATGAATGTCAGTACACCAATATGTTCGTTCATTTAATGGAGAATACTGACCTAGACTATCTCAATTATATTTCTTAATCAATGCTGATAATCCAATGTGCATTCTTTCCTTTGTTTCTCTAGGCTAATAATTCTACCTTCAGCTTCAAGAATTTTGAGTATGTTACTCAGTACTTCAAAATGATTTTCATTTCCTTAAATTCAGGAAATTCCCCCCTTTCTCCCTACAAATAGGAATCACAAAATACAAAGTGGCTGGAGAGTAGACACAGGCAGAGAACAGCTAACTATCTCTAAGTAAATTTGGAAATGCCAAAAAACTCAATTTGTAAGTTCTTTCATGCCATATAACTAACTTATTAAAAAAAAATCTAGTTTCAAGATATTGAAACATTATAGGATTATTTGGCCATACAGACATCAAGATACAGGGATGCTGAATTCTGTTACATTCCTGGTTATAAAAAGTTTCAGGATAAACACCATTACCTGCTGATTTATATTCACCTTTGTTCCATTCAGCAATCAGACAGCTGGTCATTTCTGATCAAGATGTTTGTTACATAGTTCATTTTTCCTAACTACAGCATTTTATACCTTTTTAAAAGCTTTTTTTCAGTTATGTTATGTGAACATACGTACTATATTTCATTGTCCTTGTGTAAATGAAACTTTCTGAGACAGTTACTCCTTAGGGTCATTCATAACATAAAGGCACATGATAGGAACATCGTGAAATAACCTAGAAAACAGCTTAAATAATTAGGTCACTTAAGAAATCACAGGTGTTTAGAAAGGAGTGAGATGGGAGGGGCTAAACTGTGATTTCTTGCACATGCCATAATACGTAGATAAATTCCTCATTTCATACAAACAGAACTTCATAAGACTCATGTAACTTCGATTTCTACAAATCATAGTTTAAATGAACTAGTACTTGATAAAGAAGCAATCCTGTGCAAATTTTAATTTAAAAAATTAGTATATGATTTACTTGAAAGAAAAGGAAGATTGTCACATTTACAATTACCTTGACTATATTCCCAACTCAGGATGTGCAATCACATAAAACAGATGTTTTTCAGCATTAGATTTTGGAGTGATTTGTTACTCAGCAATAGCAATTTGAACACTATTGAAAATAGCTGGCATACCACACCCTTCTTCCCTTTCTTTAGGTTTTTCCCTTTCTGGCATTTATTCATGACATTATGTTATTTACTAATTGTTATTCTGTCTTCCTCCACCAGAAGTAAGTTTCCTAAGTGCAGGGTACTTTCTGTCTTGTTCTATAACCACATCACTAGGAAAAATACCCAATATATGGTAGATGCATGAAATATATTTATTGAGTAAACAAATTAATGAATTATTATGGAACCCTCAGTACGGGGATGTCATTGGTTGGAGCTTGCTTTGGCATGAATTCCAAAATGCAGCTACTGTCATTTCATTAACTTTCCCAATGAACTACTTTCTGATAATTAAGTATGAAAAGCCACAATACCACAAATCCAAATTATCATTATTTCTGTTCCTAAGGAAAATCCAAGATGGTTTATAAAACTTAAACATTCTTGCTGAAGTCATTCAATTATTTCATTGTAATAAATGAATCAAAGTGGGAATAACCAAGAAATGTATATGGCCAAGAAATAAAAATGCACTTACTCTATTGAGTTAGTACATTTGTACTCATAAAGTTCATAAAATTTAATATCTATATATTCTTGCCCTGTAAAACTATGTTAAACAACTGGGAGCAAAATAGGTTTGATTCATGTTAAAATCCAAGTAAAAATAGGAGGTACTGTTACTTTGCACAACATTATGTTAATGCTGTGAGCCGCAGCCTACCTCTGGTGCCAGGTATTCTGGTGTTCCACAGAACGTCTTCATGGTAGCTGCATCTGTGATCCCTTCTTTGCAAAGTCCAAAATCTGTAATTTTTATGTGGCCATCTTTATCCAGCATCAAATTTTCCAACTGTGAGGTAAGAAAAATGACATAATTTGTTCTATGGTCTTCAAAAATAGGAAAATACTGCTTCAAAAAATTAATGACTGCTAAGTACCGTATTTTGGAAAGAGGATATAGTTGTAGTTAATGTAACTTTCAGTAATTACAAACATATTTTATCGAATACTTCACAATGATAAAATTACTGAATTTTAAACCAATGGGAATCAAAGCCATTACTGTGTAAGTTCTGAAGACTGAAGTTTGATTGACTTCTCAAAGCAAACATCAATCCTTTTTTAAAAAAAACTAATTATAATGTAAACAATCCCAAAGAAATGAACTTCTGTTCTACATACATATAGATGGTTTTCAACAATTTCTCTTGGGAATCTATTGCTATTATAAAATGTTCACTTACAGAAATGTTTTTTTGGTGGTGGTTGTAAATCAAACCTAAATCTTATTTTGTAAGGTAAGGCGATATCCTCTTTTGCACTTCTTTGTAATAAAGAAATACCAACCCTTTTAAACATAAAAAGAAAAAATATCAAAGTCAAACATTCAACAGGTAATGAAAATATATACCATAAATAGTATAAAGTTGGAATCTCTTTGAAACCTTTAATTCAAAAACACGAAAGAGAATATTAAAGGTTTAACCCAGTAGCAAGATCATCTGCCTCAAGTGAAAATTATGAAACGCAAGGGGGGAAGGAAGTTGTGCAAAGCCAGTGCAAATAAAAATAGCAACAAAAATTGCTCTTTTTCCTCCTAACTGGAACCAAAGTTATGATTATCATCAAAGACATACATAAGCTATGAGTTGTGATCCTATAACCTTAAGTAGATGGGGCCCCTAACCTTTCCCAGTCATGCAGATACAACCTAAAGGTGCACATAAGAAATAAACAAGAAACAGGTGAAAAACATGTTTGCAGGATAAATGAAAATTAATTTACTTAAGGAGTAGATATTTATTCTACTCCTTAATGTGATAGTGTATCAAAGTGCTTACCTGAACTCTGATGCCAATACCAAATTCAACACAGAACTCCGTAAGAGCATAAACAAGATACCAATCAAATCAAGTATGATGATAGACTTGTTATATTATCCATATGATCTTGTTTATAATGTCTTACAGACCAGAAACTAAGTACAATTAAGCAAGTTGTGCTCACAGCAGGAAAGGTCACAAGAGACCTCAGAACTCAGGTAGAGTGTTTACATGTGCTGCCCCACTGGACTTCATGCTCAATGCACATTTCACCTATTGTATTTACTTCTGAGAAGTGAGTCTGCCCTTTACTTGTCTGGAGAAAGCTGAATGAACCCTAAACATACTGTTGAAACTTTCAAAAAGCAAAGTTCTGTTACTTTGTCTGAAGTCATACCTGCATCTTCCTTCTACTTCCTTCTAACTGGAAGCTAAACTTAAGCCCACTTTACACAGATGGCAGTAAGTCCTAAGTACTGAATTCAGTCAGAAGCATCAAGAGAGAATCTCACTGTCTACTTATCTTTCTTGCCATTATCTTTCTCTCTACCTTGGACTTTTTGTTCTTCCTGCTTTATTTTCTCTTCTTCTCTCTCCCTCCCCTATCAGAGAAGTTTATACTGGAGACTGTTGTTTTGTTGAATAAAAACGTATTATGCCCTGCTCTTTTTGAAAAATATGCTTATTGTTTTAATATATGAATATATGATACTACATAAAAACAAGAGCAAATCAGTTCTTAATGTATAAAAATTCCTAAAAAACTTCAATACATAATCATATTGAATAAAATGTGAATGTCCTACCTACTCCATTTCATTCCAACTCCCATCCCTGTTTGCTGTATATTATGCTGATTCCTCTTTCTATGCACTGGGAAGTATTCGTGGAAACATGATAGCATGCACTATTTCTCCACATTTTGACAAGGTCATTTTGAAATGGATAGATTCGTAAGTATCAAATGCATAACATTGTTTTTAATACTAAGAAGTACATATATTTTTAAAAAGTCCTGATTTGCAACTATTTCTCTAATCTCCTACCTCATCTCTAGGACACCAACGGTTCAGGGAGGAGGACTGAGACAAGATGCAGGGATAGAGGTGGCGAAAGGCGCAGTCTGAAGTGGACCAAAAGTCCTAGTTTCCCAAAACTGGGAGGGTTTTCAAGATACAGGGCTTAACAGGGCAAGTCTTCAAGAGACCAGGACAACTGGTCATCCTACTTCTTTTATAAATCAACTTAAAAATCTAATGATACAGTAAGAACTAAGGTCAGCTTAAGGTACGGCCTGATGAGATAGGGTAAGGGCCATGGTGAAGGGGGCAAGGCATGTGTCACATGGGAGGGGTAGAGCCACATGGGTACAATCATGGAGCACAGCCGGGCTTCTGTATGAGCTCGGGCTGTGCCCTGCCAACCTGGGCAGCTCACTGTGGATGTGCCATTGACTCCTGAGCATATCTTTGACTCCTGAGATATGTATGTTACATTCTAATATCTGTCTGTCATGTATGTATATATCTTTAAGGTCATTTTATTTAAATGGCTGACTTGTGATTTAAAAAGGAATGAGAACAGCAGTTCCTAAGAGCAGCAATGTAAACAAACCATTCCTGTCATTCACTCTTACATCCCAGGGTAGCAAGCACGGTGACATCAAACTGTGCTTGGTACCAAGATGGCCTCAGATACAAGAATGCAGTGAGGAAATCCTCCTGTGTACAATGCACTGGATAGGTTTATGGATATCAATGTACCAAACGTCTTGCAAGCTGACCTATGACCAGGGAAGTAAGAGGGTGTGCTTAAATACTGAAAGGAAGACACTTCTTCACTTTCAATGTTCTTAAGCTAGGAACAGAGTCATAACGTATAATAGCAGACACCCCAGCAAGCTCTTTAAGTATTTACCATAAATAAGGAACCTTGACCAATAGTACAACTTAATTTTAGAGCTACTTAAATTTCTGTAAAATAGGGAATCCAGAGTGACTGCCTTGTTAGAAGTGGGTGCTGGGGGCTGTGTCTCGAGACTCAGCATGTAAGGCATGCTGATTTCATTTAGACTGTCGGTTTATTTGGGGTTAACACCAGGGAGATGAGGAAGACTGGGAGGGCTGTGGCAAAAGACTCTTTGAAACCATCACTCTGTGCCATCACCGAGTCTTAGAAATTAAATCTATTTGGCGGTTTCTCCTAATGTAATGGAATTTATTAATAATTTAAAGAGCTAACTTAAGCATTAAACTCTGATTAGGTAGAAAGCAAGATTAGGTTTTCCACAAAGAGAGTAGCAACCTATGTATTACTTTCTATCCCCTGGCCTGTCATAAACTCCTGGTGAATTAATTCTTAGTAAGTTTCAGTATCATTATATGTACCTTTGCTAATGTCCCGATCCAGCCTATTCTGTACTTGCATGGCCATGGTCTTTGAAAAGAAAGGTAATACTTGCAAAATAAGAACTAAGCAGAAAAGAAGTTTTTAATCTAATCTGTGCTATTGACAAAGCCTTAGATGCTATCATGAAGCAACATTAGTTTTTCCCAAGTAATCACAAGGAATCTGGGTCTTTATGAAACAAAATTTCATATCATGATATATATTAATAGACCAATAAGCAAACTGACTTTTTAAAGTACAACGAAGGTTGCAATAATTTATCTGTTGCTATGAACACTAAGTTATTAAGTCCTCTGAGCTGATAAAATTAATTAACTTGCACATGAAATAATAGGGCAGCAGCAAATAGGTACTGCTACACTTGAGAGGTGCAGCTACCATAGGCACCTCCAATGGATTTGCATTTGAATAAACACAAAGTCATTAGTAAGGAGACGATCAAGATCAATCTGTGATCAGTCAAAGCAGATAATAAATCAGTTTTTGATGATGCTGTTACATCTGGTATAAGGATATTTAAAACACTCATTCTCTTATCTTCACCAGCTTTACTCAGATTTTAGACTTAACAAATATCTTCCAATATTAATCCAATGCATTCATTCTCCCATCTAGATTTCATTTTAACTCTAGAAAGGCAAAATGATATAATGAAAGTAACATTAGGCCTGGAGATAGGATTCATGGGTTCCAATAATCTTGACTACATCACCAACTTAGTCCACTACTTTGAATAAATCACTTACTAGACTTCTATTCTCGGCTTCAATGACCTCACCTGTAAGCCCTATTTTATGATCATTCAATTATGCATAACCCTGTGCACTATGATACAAATAACACTTGTGTACGTTTTGAATGCTTGGCTTTTTACATTATGTGTATTCTTTTGGAGTACATTCATATTATTTCTGTCCTATGCTATGTATTTACTTAGACCTTTAAGTTAATGCTCTATTTTTAAAAACCTTAAAGACACCACTTAATTGTCTAGTATATTTAGTGATCTGCATATGGTGACTACATGGCTGGTATTAAGCAGGAACTTTATATTGCAGTTTAATAAATTTAGTCTAATTCCATCATCAGAAAGGATGGGACAATAAAACTCATGTTAAATGAATGTCAGTACACCAATATGTTCGTTCATTTAATGGAGAATACTGACCTAGACTATCTCAATTATATTTCTTAATCAATGCTGATAATCCAATGTGCATTCTTTCCTTTGTTTCTCTAGGCTAATAATTCTACCTTCAGCTTCAAGAATTTTGAGTATGTTACTCAGTACTTCAAAATGATTTTCATTTCCTTAAATTCAGGAAATTCCCCCCTTTCTCCCTACAAATAGGAATCACAAAATACAAAGTGGCTGGAGAGTAGACACAGGCAGAGAACAGCTAACTATCTCTAAGTAAATTTGGAAATGCCAAAAAACTCAATTTGTAAGTTCTTTCATGCCATATAACTAACTTATTAAAAAAAAATCTAGTTTCAAGATATTGAAACATTATAGGATTATTTGGCCATACAGACATCAAGATACAGGGATGCTGAATTCTGTTACATTCCTGGTTATAAAAAGTTTCAGGATAAACACCATTACCTGCTGATTTATATTCACCTTTGTTCCATTCAGCAATCAGACAGCTGGTCATTTCTGATCAAGATGTTTGTTACATAGTTCATTTTTCCTAACTACAGCATTTTATACCTTTTTAAAAGCTTTTTTTCAGTTATGTTATGTGAACATACGTACTATATTTCATTGTCCTTGTGTAAATGAAACTTTCTGAGACAGTTACTCCTTAGGGTCATTCATAACATAAAGGCACATGATAGGAACATCGTGAAATAACCTAGAAAACAGCTTAAATAATTAGGTCACTTAAGAAATCACAGGTGTTTAGAAAGGAGTGAGATGGGAGGGGCTAAACTGTGATTTCTTGCACATGCCATAATACGTAGATAAATTCCTCATTTCATACAAACAGAATTTCATAAGACTCATGTAACTTCGATTTCTACAAATCATAGTTTAAATGAACTAGTACTTGATAAAGAAGCAATCCTGTGCAAATTTTAATTTAAAAAATTAGTATATGATTTACTTGAAAGAAAAGGAAGATTGTCACATTTACAATTTGTTTCAAATGAGTCATGGGTACAAATTTCCTTAGTGTGTATCTAATTCAGAACAGTGTCATGAAAATTCCTACTACCTTTTATGAGATACTCCAGAGGTCAACAAACTATGGCCTGTGGGTGAAATGTAGTGTGGTCCCCCTTTTTGTAAATAAATTTTACTGGAACACAGCCAGACAGACTCATTTATGAGTTTCCTGGGGCTGTTTCCACCCTACACTGGCCGAGTGGAGAAGGTGACAGACACTCTATGGGCAGCAAAGCCGAAAATACTATCTGGCCTTTATGTAAAGTTTGCCAACCCTGACCATTCTGAGGGTCTCATCAGAAAGGAGTTTAAAGAAGTCAAGTCACTATTGCCCATAAAACAATACAGTACTTTTTAAAATTGAAACTAAACACATTTTTAAAAGGCTCTATTAAAATGCTTCAGGTATTTAAACCTACCAAAACCAAAACAAGTCTTTCCCTCCCAACAAATAATCTTACTTATTATTAAAGTTTCTTCATAATACATCAAATGATGTTAGAACATAATGAAATTTATTTTAAAATTCACTTGAAAAGTTACTTAACTTTTAATCAGATGTTTAACATTATTTCTAACTTTTACAGAAAAATGGAATAGGATTGGTAGACTGTTCAAAACAGTCAAGCATAAGTAATTTTGCTCATCAAAAACTTGGGCCTAAAGGACTACTTATATATCAGTGAATGAAATTTTCTGTCAAATGCAGTGAACTACATTCTTAAACAGGGTGCTTTCTTTCCCAGCTAAATCTGCTTTCTCCAAACTGTAACTTTGTAATTACTTTGTGTTTGTCCCTCTAGTCCCTGCAAAAAAAAATTTTGATACTCCTTTTTTTACCTTGAGATCGCGGTACACAATCTTTCCAGAATGTAGATAGTCCAAGGCAGAGACAATTTCTGCACCATAGAAACGTGTGCGGTCCTCAGAGAACACCCGCTCTCTCGACAAATGGAAAAACAGCTGCAGGGTAAACAGCAGGGACAGGATTGTAATAATTACTGATTTAGTGGGGGAAATTAACACAAACATAAAACACCTCTCATCACCATATTGTGATGATAGATAGTATACTCTCAGTGGACACTGAGCACTCTTAGACAGCAGCTGGCTTATCTTTTCCAGGTTTCCAAGGGGAGACTGCGAGCTGTTAAATCAGCGTTTTAATCAATATCCCAATCTTGTTTAAGGCATTCTGCTTGCTACCCATTTAACCTTCAGTTAGCAGAGGAAAGAAGTATGCATCCTCAGATTGCTTTTCCCCCTCACTATACTGTTGCTTTGCTCTTTCATGGATTAGGTATTGAGACATTATTAAAATAAATGAACACAGCAGAGGTAATACTTCTACTTAATTACTTCATTTACATTTGATTTAAAGAAAGGACTGATAATTCACTGCAACTGACTTATGTGAACTTGTATTCCATAATTGGTATTTCTAGAAATGTTTTCAAAGTTTGAATCTATGTTTTCTACAGTAAGAAACTATAAGGATTTAATTCATTTTAGTAATGTCCAAGATGGACTGAGAAGCTCCCCTTATTCCCTTTACTGTGTTCTCATTGTATATTCCTTCTCTTTCAATAATAAATTCCAGCACCAACTTTTCCTCATATAATCACTTAATACTGTAAGCCTGCACATTTCCTGTTAGTCCTCTAATACACCATTCAGCAGTTGGCAAGTTTTTACAGGGTGCTCCCTGTACCCAAGCACCCCGCTCTCCATGTAGGCCAGCCTCTTTAGTTAAGAAACCCCAACTCATCTCTCAGTTCAACAAGGTAGATGAGGTAGGAATAGGTTTCTGGCACTGTGAATTGACTATTGACGTCTGTTGTACCCTTTCAATGTCTTAAGAAATCTTTCAGGAACAGTAAAGTATTGTTGACAGTGCTGAGTACACTGCCATGTATCATGGTAGGTACTCAATATATATGTCTGTGATGAAAGAAATGAACTAATCAGTATATGTATCTTTAACTATAAGATCAGAAATTAACTAACCTTCACATGGACTGACACTGAGTCCTTCTATAAACTGTAAGAATTACAGTTAACTAAGATTTCTTCCTTACACACCAAATCACAACTTAGGTAACATAAAAAAGGTTCCTTACAGATTCCTTCTTCCTTTTTCCCACTATACCTTTACTTAAGAGTCTATCGTTATTTTAAGATAAACTTCATGCATAACCCCTTGTCATAATAAAGAGAAGGGGGTAATATCATGTAACTATTTCCAAAACAAGGGTGGTTCAACATCAGTTATAGCAAAATTAAAATATCTGACAGATAGTCTCTAGGTGTTAGTACTCTCTATTACATTGTCCTATTTTACCAAATCTAAAATGCTATTGGCTGCAACTGCATCATCCTTTTTTATTAACACCAAGAAAGAAAAAGAAAATGTTGCCAAATGAAATTATGACACATCAAAAAGGCATTCTGACTACAGAAATGTTAAACGTGTCTTACAAATGATCACATACAGTATCCAAAAGTCAAACCAATATATACAATTATTCAGAGATACTTCCCAAAATTCATTCATTTTACATTGTCATATATATATTATTAATGCATTACCATTCAAACAAGTACAGTAAATAGAAAGAAGCATGATGGATCATTAGTAAAACTATTCTGAAAAATTTCTGGGACAAAGTAATTTCTGCCATGTTTTACACAAAATATCACTAACTTTGATGAAAGAATCCCTGTGACTTCTATGTAGGTTTATGGTAGTCTTCCAATGGGATGAAAACTTGAAAACTGGTATACAAAAAATATAGATCTTCCCTAAATCAATATAATAAATGCAGGCTTCTAGATTTTATTTAGATCATATATTTTCAATTTGTCTTCCAGCCAATTTCTGTGAAAATATCAGCTAAAAAAAAAAGATATTTAACAAGAAGAATTCTATTTATTTCTCAATCTGCTGGCCTCTGATGTCTACCCTTGTTGCTTAATGGAACTTATTCTTGTTATGATAACCAAGAACCTCTTACTTGCCAAATCCAATGATCTATTTACAGTCTATACTCTTTCTTCCTGTTCTGGGGCTTGGAGCACTGCCCATCACTCCATTCTTCTTGAAAACCTCCCTTGGTTTTGGTAATACAACTCTCTCCTGATTTCCAACCCAACTCTCTAGATATTCTTTCTGTTTCTACCTTGGCTTTTAACCATCTTTCCATTTATTTGGCATCAACTCTTTTATTAAAGTCACTGTGTAGGGCACCAGAAATAAGAAAAGAGGCATACAATGATGATTAAGACATAATCCCTGACAATAATCTCCCAAGGAAGGAGATACATGAATAGATTAAAAAACAAGAGGGCTGTGATAAATTTTGTAATTCTGATATTAAAAATGCTTTGGGGGCACAGGGTGATTAATCTTTATTGGAATGATCTGAGTAGAATTCACAGATAAGGTACTACCTCACTTAGGTTTTTGAAGAGTAGGATTTTTCACAAGTGGAGGATATGAGGGAAGCCTACAAAAGACTGATATGCAAGTTTTAGCCATCTTTATGTTTCTAATATAACAGCCTAGTATATTAACTGCACACAGCAGACAATTAATAAATGTTTGTAGAAAGAATTTATTTTATAGAGAAAAAAGCAATGGTGAGGAAACACACAAGGAACACGTGTAGCTGAAGAATAATACACAGGGCAATGACAGAATTTCAGCAAAAAAAAAAAAAGGTGGGGCCAGATTTTTTAGGACCTTGACTGACATGATATAGGTTTGAGATTTATCCTATAAATACAGAATGTCAAAAGATTGGGGTTTAAAAAGTCAGCATAATTTTAAGAAGAACTCTGACAGTGATTAGAGAAACAATTAAAAAGATCTGAGACTACAGTCAGGTGAATGACACATAAAGTGCCACTGAGCACCTATGTATTCCAACTGTTGTGAGCAGCTGAAGACACAATAATAAGAAAACTTCTGCCTTAAGACTTTGAGAGACACCATAATGTTGAAAATCATGTACAGAATGCACACCAATTAAAAAGAAAAATCAGTGATGTCAGTCAGCCAGAAACAAGTTATTTAATAAGATTTTAATAGATGATAAAGTTGATGACAAAATACATGGGGAAAAAAACACTTAATAAATGGTGCCACAGTATTTGCTTTACTTTGGAGAAAAATTAAATTCCATTTTCATCTGACACTGTAACAAAATAAATTTCAGATTAAATTTCAAACATAAAATATGAAACTTATTTTTTCAAAAGCTAGAAAATAGGAATCAATAACTATTTGATCTCAGGATGACGAAGGATTTCCAACCAGAAAGGAATCACAGACAGAATTTGGATATATTGCAGTTTCAGTTCTGGATGACCACAATAAAGCAAATGTTACAATAAAGTGAGTCAAATGAATTTTTTCCTTTCCCAGTGCATATAAAAGTCATGTTTATGCTATTCTGTAATCTAATTAAGTATGCTACAGTATTATGTCTAAAAAAATATAATATACTAAAAAATATTTTATTACTAAAAATGTCAACCATCATCTTAGCTTTCAGCAAGTTGTGACCCCTGATCACAGATCACCATCACAAACACAGTGATAATGAAAAAGTTTTAAATATTGTTGAGAATCACCAAAATATGACACAGAGACATAAGGTGAGCAAATGCTATTTAAAAAAATGGTGCCAACAGACTTGCTCAATACTGGGCTGCCATAAGCCTTCAATATGTAAAAAATGCAGTATCTGTGAAGCTCAAAAAGTGAAGCACAATAAAACAATGTATGCCTATAGAATAAATCATAAAAGGAGAAACTTGTAGAATTAACTATATCCAATAGCAAAAATATAAATAAAGCTGGATATTTTACAACAAATGTGTTAAGGTTCATATCATTACTCTATAAAGAAATCATATGAAAAGTAAAAAGATTAAAACAAAAAGAAAAACAGGGGAAAGGACACAATTAAAATAGGAGGCATACAAACAATTAAAGCATATGACAACATGGCATCTCAAGATATATTGCATTGTCAGCGAAAGTAAGGTGAGACGACTATCATTAGGCACTAATGGCTGTTATATAAACAGAAACTTTTCACAGAACAGTTGGCAATAGGTATCATGATAATTTTTAAAGTATAGTAGTTAATCTTTTAGAAATCTCCTTTGAAAAAAAGGGAATTTAGAAGTCTTCTACACAAGGATATTCTCTGCAACAGTATAGACAATGATGTAAATGTGTAAAAAGCCTTTTAACTATGATGAAAAACAAAATTAGATATTCATCTAATGCCATAACAAAATAAATTTCAGATGTAACTAATATGAAATATGAAACAAATTAAAGAACTAGATAGTAAGAATAAAAAACTCATGAGACTAAGGTTACCCTCTTTCCCTAAAGAACTGGACAGACACATATAAAACAAGAAATGAAAACTGTAAAGATATATAACAGAACTCTTTTTATATATCAGACAATAGCAATGCATGACCATGATCTTTGTGTAAATAGAAGCAAATGAGATAAGCCCTAAAATCACCACCTTCTGCCTGAGGGCACTTTCTGGAATATTATGCAGCAAAAGAAATCTCAAGCACAACTCAGAGGTCTTACTGTTGGAGAGTTAATTATCTAATTATTAGATACTGAGGAAGGCAAGCTAGATGGCATTTGCAAGACTAAACACCAGTGAGAAAGAAGTTTATAAAACATGCACAGTGAGTCTGCTGCTGAATACTGTAATGTTAAACTCTGAGAACAAGCAGAGAGGAATGAAGATCTGTATGCCAAATAATTTCCAGAGCTCACACAGTGCTCGGAGATATTCAATTTGTAACCAGTCAGAGAAGCATCATTACTGAACACCCAAGCATTCAGTAGATATTACGAAAAAAGAAGAAAAGCTAAACCTCTATTAACAATGTTAACAAATAAGACTATAGAATATCAACCA